TTGTTTCCTAGCATGAAATTACCAATTGAGCCAAGCTGGTCTTTTGTAGGTACTAAACAAACTACTGAAACCGATTTAAGATATCAAATATTTCCCTTTTCCATGTAGGTGAATTCTACCTTATAGCATGTACTGTTGATACTGTCTAATTTAGCTGGTGCAATCTATCTAGAATAACAACTGCATATTTAGAGGGGAGAGGAAAGTGGACACCTTCAAGCACTTCAATATCGATTGGCATCTAGTGGGCGATAAGGATTCTACTGAAAAGGAGATATTATCGGTCAATTTCTCGGTGGTCGAGAATCTGTTAAGTCAGGGATCAAGGGCATCGAATGGAGATCGCACGTCCAGGTTGATCGATGCAAATCAGGCGGAATAATGCATAAGGCAACCGGTTGGATCAGGCGATACGCTTTTCAGAACATCGGTCACTATTAAGCGTGTAATTTGCCCCCGTGCATTTTTTAGCATCAAAATGGCGTCAGAATCTTATACTTTTGCATCGTTTCTAAGTCATCAACGTGTATGATATTTCTACTATTATTAAAGCTTGGAAAGTGAGTTAAGTAGTATTATGGTTTGGCGTAAATTGAAACGCCCAAAATTTGCTGCCACGTATTACTTCAGACATGAATTGCGGAAGAATTTGACGTCATAGTACTAATTTATAAAAGAAATTTTATAGTTATTTAAAAGGAATCTTAGTTTTGTTTTGTGTTTAGTCTCTGACTTTGGCCTTTACTCAGTATCTAAGAATGATTGAGTTGATAAGAATCACTTTTCTATGAGGCACTTCATTTCATAATGTAATTGATAAGTTAATACGGCGATTTCTGTGTGTTGCTTCGTATAAGCCTGTTGCTGTCTGTGACTTCATTAGTGAGAGTTGTAAATTGTTTTACTCTCAAACGGTAATTTCTTCGAAGCTAGCCATTTTAGAAACAAATTATCGCTGAAGAAATTTGTTATCCACCTCGTGCATCTGTTGTCCTAATGGGATGTCATGCATATTTGTGACCAAAACGATGTAAATCGCCATACCAAATAATTAAGTTTTCCGTTACAGTCAGAATCGTTATTAAAATATATGAACGCTGATCCATCTATCTATTTATCTTAAACTCATACCACTATTGCAATAAAAATACTGTGGCTTCATGCAATCCTTTTTATAAGCAGATGTAAACATATACATTTAAACATTTAAACAATAGGAAATCATGTAGTCTAAAACAATCATCATTATGAACACTGGAGGATCACTATTGAGCCGTCGATTCTATGCCCATTTATGTAGATTTTAGACCGCCGCCGTGTCTGATAAAAAAACGAGTTTCCGGCCCATTACGCTAATCAGTAAACCGGCTTATCTTGTTCGCGGAGATGCGAGCCCAAATTTTAGATTAGACAACCGATGTTTCAAGGCATTTTGTGACCCAATAATCGAGCGTTTCATTCGGTAGCAGATCGTCAGATGGGATCGAATTTACCACCTATCTTGATTACATTCCTCGAATCTGAACGATTGCACGGTTCCTCTTTGGAAGGGAATTCTACATTCTAAATTATACTTCAACTTGTTTTGATTCATATTTTGGGTTAGATGTTTTTTTTTGTTAGACCAAAGACCTGTATGAATGAAAATTAAAATGAGACGACTAAAAATAATCATGGCATAAGCTCCAATGCGTACGGTAGCACCAAGCAGAGCTCATAAAGTCCCTCATCAAAGACTCGAAATATGAATTTTTTTGCCCTTTTAGGTTCCGTTTTTGCGCTTAGTGCTTGATGCGCTTTTCACAGAATTTGGTTTCAAATTCGACGGATTGAGATCCGTCGCGTACTGATCTTCATTATACTTGGTTATCGTGTGGTTTCTGAAATGTTACGATCTTTTCTGTTATTATAATTAAGTCGTATAATAGTCGTATTTTTCATAAGAGAAGAAGCTTATATGTGTGCGACGCCTAAAACTTGTTCAATTTGCGAACAATCCCATGCAGATGGTTGTATCAGTTCAGTAGGAAGAAATTAAGATAGTAATGTCCGAATTTGAATGTTGACAGCAAAGCTTGTAAGTGCAGTGTACTCTTCTGCTCGCTAATATTGTATTACTGCAACTTAATTTATTGGTATTCTGATGCATTGCGGCCGTAATTTAATCGCAGTGCAAGCCGAATGAACCTTTTTTCCGTTTATTTTGTTAATTTGTGTTTCATGTTGGTAAATGCGTACAAATTACTTTACCTAACTTGTTTAGAGCTACTGGGGGTTTTCAATCTGATAGTTGGAAAGTTAATGATGGGCTGTAGATACTTTACTCTTCACAACTTATCACACTACACCCTATGGCCTGGAGAACATTTCATATTATTTTTGCTAGAAGATTGCTATGCATTGTTTATACACGGCGGGATTAGAGGAGTAATTTTAATATGTGAAAAATGTTATTTTATTCAGAAAAATCTGTTATTTTATTTAGGCATAAAATTTTGAACACAACCAAAACGAAACTATTTTCTGGGTTTACTATTTGGGATATTTTTGTCAGAGGTTCGTTCTTTCTTAGTATATGGTCTACCTTCTTATTTACCCGCGTCATCTCCCATCAGACGTGTAAAATCAAATTTCAACATTAAGCAAGAGATGATATTAAAGCTCAAGTAATATCCCGCTCATGCTATTAACATCGTTTCTCAAAATCAAATCTATTAGAGAAATTGCTATGTAATTTAACCATGTCTAAGGTGTTGAATCTTAAAAATAACATTAAATTTCAATCTGATGGATTTTTAACTTCCCTTCCCTTCCAATTTTTGGAAATTTGTAAAGACGTAGAGAAGAATTTTTCTCGTCATACAGAACGCACAGCATACCCGAAGCAGATTTTCTTTGTTTTGATAAGAGACAATATTTCACACGCGCTTCGGTCGAGCGAAGTAATTTATATACGAAATAATATTTCACGAAGCGCTCTTGAACTTAAACCAAAGATGTATGCATGCAGTTCTAACATTAAAAACTAAGTGTGAAAGTTATTAATGAGCAGAACTATATGAGAAATTTTTTATCATCGTGGAAGATACGAATTGCATGTTAATTGTTAACAGCTTTGCTATTTGCAGTACTTTATAAAGCGTACAAAGAATGAAGTATTATTTTCATAGGACTATAAAATAGGTACGTGAGTAGGTTTAGATGCTCGGCTTACTTCAAGTGGAGTTTCTTTAGCTTCTCTAGATTTTTAGATTTAATTTACAGCGTATTCTAGAGTATGGTATTATTAGCAGGTTGTGATGCATAGGTGGGCAAGAGCGACAGTGTTATCATTTTTCTGCTTCTATGGCATTACAGGGCGGCATGACGGCTGTTCAGAAGGCGACTATGACAACCAAAGCACCAGAAAGTTCTTGGTTTAGTGCCCAGTAAAACCATCACAAGTACCACTACTAAACTATAACTTTATCAAAGAGCAATACCGGCGAGAACCAATTGCGCTCGAGCAAATTTCGTAGTAGTTTCTGTTTACCTTTAGCGCGATAACAAGCGGTGCTTTGACTTCATATTATTGCTGGCAGTATGTCATGACCAGGATATTTGTATCAGTTTGTGTTCTTTTTTCGGGCCCGCAGACATTTATTGCGTTATTTTCGTAGCTGGTGCGGCGAAGGATGCTGATTGGTTAGTGGGATCGGAGCTTCGAAGATTGATTTCATCATAATTTATCTGTTGTTTTTTAATGCTTAAAATTCATCAGATGACTGCTCATATAGTTTTACAATGGCGTTTGAGAACATTTTATAGAATTTTTATTTTTCACTTTCGCCGCTCTTCGGCTCGTTTTATCGAAAAAATGTGTATTTATTAGACCAAGTATTTTTTGTAATAAGTTAAATAATTTAATATATATATATATATATAATAAGTTAAAGCTCTTATCTTTCAATTATAAATAAATAAATCCGTTCTTCGAAATTTATAAGAACGTGTATGTATGAATCATGAAGTTGCGGAGTTTCACGTCAATTATGAACTCTAGGAATCACTTCTTGTTTATCAGATGACCGAATATCTATGTAATAAACGTTTGAATTGCCCAAACCCCATTTTTAACAATCTATGGAGCCAAGTTCTTTTCTTTGAGTCAGCACGACTTGTGAAATTATTGTTGTAGCATCGCTTATTGTGTGATCAATTGATAAATTCCCGAATAGCGTTGTATGTTCAAATTTATTCTATACTTCCATCTAGTCGGTAGAATAGAATATGATTTTACTCAATCTTCAAGGACGTTTTGAAGCCAAAGATATAAATTTGAAAATATAAGGAAAATCATTATTATTATTTAATCGATAAAAGCTGATGAAAACGCTGCTTTTGCATTATCTGCGTTACATTAATATTTTTAGGTCATTGCTGATAATTGCCGCACTAGATGTCGAAACCTTATAATTTGGGTGGGAAAGAAATTTTTTATTATTTGATGCAAAACGGATGGATTTATTTTTCTACATATTGAAGTTCGTCTGAGATGCCTGAGGACTTGAAAAAAGCCGATGTCATAAATGACATTAATGCGCTTTTCATTTATATAAAATACGAACAAATGTTATAATTGATCACGTTCACTAACACTAAAAATGCAAGATAGTATAAATATGTTCTACATTAATACTCTAACTAGTTTGCTTTGATTGTATCGTATGCACATCAAAAAGTGCGAGTTTAGCTTGAGGACTTACACGTTCAGATCAATGCCTGAGGACTTGAAAAAAGCCGATGTCATAAATGAGACTGATGTCTCAAGACAATCTCTGTAGACAGTGGCTCTGCAGTCGTAAAGTCCTGGAGCTCCTGAACGCCTTGAGCTCGGTGCACTGAGCTCCAAATTAGCTCGAGCCTCGGTTCTCGAATGGGCGCTCATTAACTACGCTTGTATTTGCCGAGGACTCATTTACAGTAAGGGCTTAGTTTAAGGGCCAATAAAATGATCGTAGTTAGCAGTCAAGTGAAGTGTATTTGAAGTTAGCGCGTATCACAGGTTTCAACAGACGGCTATAATAATAGCGTTGCGCACAAAATCAGCGCTTTTCACTCTTAAATCATAATGTTGTGCCAGTTTTACCTTCAAAATGGAGATATATCAGAAATTTATGACACAGGTGAAATTCACACAGTTTGAGACGTCGGCGTGTGAGCCGTCAATAGGACACGTTCCTAGTAAACGAGAAGAAAATGAAACTTGACCAAATCTTCTCGTATGAGCTGGAACTTTTTCCGAACAACCTCGCCGTAATCAAGCTACATTTAGAAAGAAGGTAACAATTACCACGCTGAAATGATGAAGATCATAGTTAATTGGAAGTAGCCAATTCCGGAACCCATTTATCGCAGTGTTGGAGTAAACAAAAGGCCAAACTAGACTAAGGAAATGAATCCAACACGTCGAAAAATATAGAAAATGTTAATTGCTGATTTAATCGCGAAATACTTGAATTGATCGATAAGAATATTTCAATAATGATCCATTTATGAATTAATCATCATGGAAAACTATCTCACCCGAGCGATAAGATGATGAGCAATGTCAAAAAATAGCTCGAGTATTCTAAGAAATGACAGAAGTTCTAAACAGTACAATATATCAATAGAATAGCTATACGATAGTAAATGACCAAGGCACCATAATATATTCACATCTTAGGATAGACGAAGAGTTACACAAAGTTCGTTTATACAAAAATACGAAAAATTAATTCGAGGAACGTATTAAACCATAAGAATGGGATATTATAGCATCGTTCATGGAATAGATAACGTTTAAGCCTAATATGGAATTAAATTAAGTTTTTAACTATCACAAGCAAGGTATTGGTGCTTTTATAAGATGTAATAACAAAGTCATAACGTGCCCGCAGCGCGGGGTCTCAACTTTTCTATTACGATCATTTCCATGACAATCAGGGGCATGCTGCGACTTGCACTTATTGTTAGTTAGCTACGTGTTTCCAGATTTTATTAATGGTTTTGTCTGAGCTATACAAAGAGACTCCAATATAGAGTTTAGTGTTTGCCTTCGAGTGTAGAAATCGGCAATGGATCTCATCGAATAGAAAAACATTAGATTGATAATAAATGTGATATAGTCAGCATTCACAATCTCTTCAGTGATGTATATATTCTCGCATACATATGTATATCTGAAACACGCGACATAGGGAATAATAATAGTGTCACGCTCTATATATAATAAGCACCACTGAAAACAAACACATCATGGCATAATGAACAACGCATAACTGACTGACGTATAAACAATCGGACGTAACGTAACAAGTTTAATAATTTATACATGATGACACAAGACGCACTGCCACTGCAATGAATGATTACAATATTAATATAATCTTAATGAGAGGATATTAAGTGTTAGGACCAGGGTTTTCCTATCTGCTGCGCATTTTATTTCCAGGGCAAGTTTGTATTAGTAGGCTACGTGACGTCTCCGATATCTTAAGAATTATTTATGTTCTCTTGACTTGTTAATTTCCGGTATGAGAAACAAAAATTACAAAGCATAGATTAGTACGCAAAATTAATGTTGTAATTAGTGTTCTTGACTGTAAGATTTCCATAGCTGGAGAGTGGAAGTTTCAAGAAAGCCAGTTGGCAGTGCGTGTGCAAGCAATGTATGGTATCCGTGATAATGGATACACACGTGTTACTCTAATAAGAGGAAGCACCATAAATCACTCAGCATAACTAATTCCTTGTTCTTTAGAACCTAGGCGAAATAACTCAAGGCAAACTATCGTCATTTAGGGTCTTTGATCAGAAGTTCGGATGAAAATTTTACAAAGGCTTTCGATAGAATTGAAGATGAAATCAATAGACAAACAACACCATGTCGAACATGGCCTGCTCGTGACCGTTTGGCGCCAATAGTTTGTATTGTCAAAGTTTCAAGCATCGAGCAATATTTTCTTGAGCACAGAGCTGCGAACATGAATCCAAGTGTTGCAAATCCTGTGACATTATTTTTCATAATAATTTAGGCACAGGTATCTTAGTCACATTATCAATTTCTAATGTTTTGGAAGAAAATGTTAGATCTGGTTCAAATCATTACGTGCACGAAAGCCTAACATTTCTCAGCGACGAAAAACTCTAGAAGATATGCGGAACGAACTAGTAGTTTTCGAATCGTAGAACTTCTGAGTTACTTGTATTCGATTAAGATCCTGGATAAGGAAACGGTGATATAATATAACTTAATTTTTAGCTTAAAACGAAAGGACTAGCAGAAAAGAGACGATGGATATATATAGCCGATTTCAGAAACAGCATCCAATAAAAGCAATATATCTTCATGTTAACGCTTTTCTTGTGAATGTAAATGAAGTATCGATAAATGGATGAGATATGTAGTTATTTATAAAATAAATATATGAGTGATCTGGGGACCTAATCAGGAATAGTTATTAAGGAGTTGAAGACTCTTTATCTTTGTGGACATTGCAGGTATTTATTACAGGTATTTGTAACTAATATATAATAACTGATAATTTTTATCATACTGAGCAAATTTGGACTTGTAATTTCATTTTGGGTATAAAAAGCTTTGCAAATAAATGCCAGGAATGATGATAGCATTCAAACTTTCCCTATTCTAATTTTTCAAGAGTCTATTAAAACTGGAACAGTGAAGAACTTTCAGAAACATTAAAATTTATTTCCAAATTAAATTGGAATTTTTCATACCAGGAAGGCATTTCTTTCCGTTGTGAAGAAACAAAGTATCTCTTCTTTCAATCTTTAGTTCATTAATAAACAAATGAAAACATAAATGAACCTTATTTATATTATGTGCAATAAAGCGAAATCGTAACGAACACCGTCTTCGCGTCACAATTACTTCAAAGTTAAGATAATGTAGTAAATGACATCACATAAACTATATCGACTGATAAATGTGTCCTTAAATAAAAAGCACGCGAACTTATAATAAAACAACTTTTAATGTTTCTAAATTATAAGCAGAAAGCACCAACAAATTTATACGACAGCACCTCACTTACTGTAGCTTCTCATGCCGGGTCGATTGTGTGCTATTTACCATCTATCTAATGAAAAATTTGCCTAATATTGAAGCATCCTATACTTTTATATCCATCAACGACGACAAAAATCTAGAAGAAAAAGTTAGGAAGTTCATCAACATAAGGCAAGTTATTGTTCTTGAAAAAACTTCAGATGAACTGCGATATAATCGAAAAAGATATCCACATTTTATTGAAATTTATCAAGTAAAAATGTTATTAATTACTTCATAAGATGTACCTAACGTACGTAAAAAAGAACATTTAATTAATAATCGCCTTGTGTTATTTTTCTAAGACTTGTCGAAGCGTTGAAGTAACAATCTTCACTCTGCAAAAAAGGAAAATCGGGTAAATGTCCGATAATTGCTACTATATATATATATATATATATATATATAAAAATATTGATCGATTTCGTCACTTTAGAATATTTAGGGGCGAAGTCTATATTCATTAATAGGAGCTAGCATAAAATAAATTTTAGAGTCGGGTGCTGATAATCACATGAATACGGCATAGACGCAGGAAAAAATTAGAAGGGCAAGTGCGTGAAACAACACGGATGCGAAATATCGTTTATCTATTAATATTTCCGGTTAGGTATATTACGTACGTAAGGTAAATTTTACAAGTTACTGACTTGCATATTAACACGTTTCCTATCTAATTACGTACTAGATATCGACTAATAAGGTTGTGATGTTTGCAATTGTAGTGTAGGTAATCTATTTAGAAGTAATGAAGTTTTAAGCGATTATTATATAAACGTGGGGAAACATTAATGCCTCTGTGAACAATCGATATTTCCCATACATATTGTTAACTGATGAAGATAGGAATGCATCCATACAATTAAATTAGTATGCGCTACTGATAAACTATGAACAAATTTACGCAAAACAATCTATTGACGAAAACAGACCATATACGTAGCACGTCTTTTCCACGAACGCAAAGCGCGTCGGAAGTTCGGAACATGCTATTTTATTAATGTTTTATGTTATTATGATCAACCAAGACCTATTGAATGAGAAAATTAGATAGATATTCCTAAACACTTAACTAGTTACCTGCTCAATGTGCAGAGTGCAGGTCTAAAAGTGATTAAGGTGACTATCTTCTCACTATGCTTGTTTCTTCTTCTCTTCTTCCGACGATAATGCTCTAGATTCTCTTTGTCCCAACTGCTTCGAGTTCTCACTCTGATCACTTTTTAATTTATTATGATTAACATTTTTACTGCTGCTTTGATCAGCATAATTTGCACTCGCAGCATCTTTAGTTCTCCGTTCGTTATTTTTAAATGAATTATTGCTGTTGTCACCAACACTCTTTTTCTGCCTTGCAGAAAGCAACGACGCTTGACGAGGCTCGTGGAACTCGGGTAAGTTATCCTTATCTTCAGCCTCGGGTGGGACTGACGATTCTGTGAGCTGCTGCTCGCCGTTATATTTAGCAAGCCTGCTGCGTACAATATTCAGGTGCCGTAAAATATAATCTTCTGTGGGAGCGATAACGTGAGCGCGGGCCAAGCAAGACTCCGCCGCTAGCAGCTCGCCGCGTTCGACGTAGACGACGCACAAGTTGTGCAGGCCCTGCACGTTGCCAGGGTCAACTGCCAAGATCCGCTCGTAGCACTGTCGGTTTAAGGGATGAAAATGTTGATAAATTACAATTATTTTCGTCAATATAATATTACATTGTCTCACAGTTACAAATCAGCCTTTGCATTCTTATTTTTTTATGGGCACCAGGGTGACATTGCTTGTCAGTACGTCTGTTATGAATATAATTTATATAATAGATAAAAAAAGAATCTCTCGAATTCCTTCCGTTACTGAAAACTAGAGGAACGAACCTTCTCTGCGGCATCTAGATCCTTGATGTTGTTGATGTAAATATCGCCAAGGAGGATAAGGCCCTTGACGTGGTCGGGATGATGCTTGACAAGCTGGTTCAAGAAGGGCGCCGCTTCCAAAGGCCGTCCGTCGTCAGTCAACAAGAGCGCCAGGTTAAAGAGCGCTGATCGAAAATCTTCTTTCAACTCCACCGCCTGCAGAACATCACAATAGTTATTGCTATATATTGTGATGAAACGGCTACCACAATATGTCATGCAGATGACATATTTTACTGAGGAAGATACTTTTCGGTTTTACTTAGTGCACCATTCTTCTCCCATGCAAATATTATTAATGCTTGAGCGAGAGACAACTTCCCAAAATAGGATAGCTAATAACTCCTTGAAGATGACTTTATTGGTGCTACGAACAAAGGGTATTGTATATTAAATACAGTATTTGAGCGGAGCTTCACGTGTATCGAAACAAAATAGCCGGTAAAATCTAATTGTATGTTACCTATTTATCAATTGACCATGAATAAAGTTGCGTTGTAGGAGAATGCTCACCTTCCTGAACCAATTTTCTGCACTTTTATGATCGTTATCATCCATTGCAATCATTCCCAAGTTGAAGTAAACTCTCTCATTTTGAGGGTCTTTCTGAACCAGTCTTAAGAGCCTGGACACTGCAACAGGACGCAGCGCTGCGTTACCGGACTCCTGTGTAGAAGATAATAGGATCGTAATACATACATCTGATGTTACCGTTAAAATAGACCAAACGACAGGAGACATTTGTACTTGCGCCGCCGCAAAATGGAGGCAAAACGCAAACTTTGAGTTGATTTTTTATATCATGATTCTTTGATTAAATAAATGTAGAATAAGCATATGAATAACAAATGTTCAGGAATTACTTCAATAGCAAAGCAACAGCGGACATTGAAGTTTTGCTATACTTTCTTACTATTGAACAATTAAATTATGAAGATGAAACATTTCCCAAGATTCTGTTTTGGTCATTGATAACAAAATTCAAACTAAATATTAAATGTTGTCGATATGTTTGATGTTAGAATCAGAATTTGAGACAAAATTTCTTTTCATTTACCTACGATTGAGTCGAGCAAGAGAGGAATTGAGGAAAAAATATGTGTATGTTGAAAAATGTGTTGGTTGGTTGAAGGTATTAAACCTATTTATCATTTAGGAAAAGATAGTGGAATTTTCATCAACGCAACAACACACTTTCCATACTCACGGATGCATTCTTCGATATGTGTGCTATAATTACAAATTTTTATACATCGCATGAAAATAAGAACATTCAACACATTCTACCCATAGCTTACAGATCATTCTCCCATCATTCGTATTTGGTTTGTGATACGTGAAAAAGATGATGTATGGATTTCAGGAAAATTCCATAAATATCTCTCGTGTAACTTAAATTTTTACATGTGCTTCACTTATCATTAATTTTGTGGTAACGCTGAACAATCAAGTACCTGAATCAGCACGGCAGAGTTGAGAAGCGCCTGCTGATGATCTGGGTCCATCTCGAGCGCCTTGTCCAGGTAAGCTAGCGCCTGCTGCGCGCGCCCCCTCTCGAGCAGCACCACGCCCAGCTGAAAAAATGTGCTATTCATAATATTTTATTCGATAATATTCATTATACTCTAATGCGCATTCAAGATGGGAATTTATCTGCTCTTGATGTATCATCAGCAACAACACGCATAGCTGAAAAAACTTATTATTAATAACATTTTATTAGACAAGATGCATCATTCTCATGCGTATTTAAAATGGTAATTTATCTCCTTTAACACTTGTTCCAAGGCAGAGATGCTTTATACTAAAATTAATCCACGCGTCCCTATATTTCAAATGTGAGAAAGAAGTTGACGGTTTCAAGTTTTTTCCTAAGTTCGTTCTGAAACTAGCTTTGCAGAATTCAATAATAATGAAGTAGTCACTAAGCCACGGTACAAATTCACCTGAAAAAAACTTTCTACTGCTAAAAATGAATGTTATTCAGAGTTGGAGCCAAATTGATTATGAATATAAAAAATACATATTATCGTGCTTCGTACTCGTATCAATGAGATGGCATTAGTTAGTAAGTGGGATTCATTCCAAGCATTGTTTAAAAACCGTTTCCTTCAGTATAATATTTAATTATCGGTGCCCAAATCTGGATCTCAAGGAGTAATTGTATGGAAAAAAATAGATTCATTGTTCAAATTTCTTCGAAAATAATAAGCGTTAGAATTGAATGTCTGTGCTGTTTAATGCTATCGCCTTAATAAGGCAAATTTGTAAGAACAGTTTTGCTTTTGGTTTACCCGACCAATCATAGAGCTCGACTAATTTCATTTTGGCAGAAACAGTAAAGAAATATTATTAGTGTATTAGTAAGGCTACACTAATACTGTATTATATACACAATTAGTGTAGTCTTGCCGGGGCCATAGCATTAGTTTCGCGAATTTGTACGATATCCTATTATGCATTTCTCGGAACTGAAGTGGTTTCGAGAAGTGTTCTTTGTGCATCAACGATGGCAATCTTTCGTTGTTGCCATTGATTTATCCCTTGCAGTTATTCGATCGCGATGCCCTGGAATGATTTACTATATAAAATAATAATTTTATAAGTAATATACGTACTCTGATAACCATCACCGAAATTGAGCAAGATTGCATGTTAATTTTAATTTAGCATGCATCACCATGAAAACTCTTTCAAAATAGTCCGGTGTAATCAAAATGAGCCTCAATACTTGAATCACCCGAATACCATGAACCTGATTAATTTTCTAATTTTTATATGAGTAAGAACACTTGAAACTATTTCGAATGAGATTCAATCGGGTAGCAGCACATTATAAGCGAAACTAAGAAAAACGATATAATAATTGATTGATTTCCCATCGTTATTACCTATCTTGAGCAAAATGCATTAGGTACCAACTTTCCAAAGGATCAAACCGCTACGTACGTTGATTCAATTTCGGTAGTATTACAATTCGGATACAGAAAGAGCTTTGCCCAGCGAGTTCGTGTGAAGAGCGCATACATTATAAGAGTATAGGCGTGACATCGAGCAACGCCTCTCTCCCGCTAGGCACTCGTCACATCAATAAGCTAAGCGTCTTCGCTCGGTCTTAACAAACTCCTAAAAGACACGATTTCGTGGCAGGCTTACAGCCATGCCACGAAGCGCACCGCAATACAAGCCCGACCAAAGCCAGTATGATTAAATTTCAATTCGTTTTGTTTAGTTTAAAACTAAACAAATGAAATAAAGTAAAAGTTTTTTATAAATACATGTGAGCATCTATAAACTTACAAATAATTAGTCTAGATAAAGAAAAAAAATTAATAGCATTCTAAAAGAATAGTAAGGATCGTCATAGTTTTCATTAATGTACATAATAAAGCTCCTTGTATTCAACGGGATGTGTTCACTATTGATGCGTCTCGTACAGTAAAGTGGATTTACGTCAGCAAGTAAATTTACAATCAAAACAAACGAAAAATAAATTGACGATAAACCTACCAGCCCAGCAAGATTGGAAAATTTAACCACAGAAAGACTCACGTTATAGTAGATATCCGGGTTTGTGCTGTCGTAGAATAAAGCTCTTTCGTATACTTCTTGCGCTTCTTTGGTTCTGCAAGGAAAAAAAAATTCATGTGAGTTGTGCTAGAGTGTTTTCTGACTCTTTTCTAATTAAAATAAATCGTTGAAATGCATAATGACCGACTAAACTACGTATTAATGAGTGAATTTGAAAATATTATGCAAACGCTACTCATAATATTGAACATGACCAGATATTATAAATGGAACTATAAATTGGTAAAAAAAACTCTAGCGGCCGAAGCGGCGGTTTTAAAACACAATAGCAAAGGTCAAAGCAACGACGCCGGTAACATCAAATACATTCTGAACAAGATGATGATGCAACCTAACTCAAGTCAATGGAAGTCGACACAAGCCTCCAGAAATACTTGGGTGATGTTAAGCCGTGTTCTGCATTCTTCAAAGGTTGTCTAGCGTGTAACTCGAGTTCCGAGCCTTCAGTTCTTCATGAAAGAAAACCTAATTTTGGTTGGTCTTGGTTATCGTTCAAACGATTGACTTGGAGCGCGAACGCACTTTGGAGCCAGCTTCGCAATTGAATTGTATCAAGCGAGGCACGCCATGGTTCTTCTTTGCCTTAGATCGAAGTGCGCGGAGCTCGGTGCATTTCCAACCAAATTTATTATCATTGGTTAGGCAGAGGTTAGCGCGCATTGACCTTTGGGATGCAAGTACATCATCTCAAGCTAGCGACCGTAATGAGCTGAGGAAGAACCAACAGCAGGAACAACAGTGAAAGAATCATAAGAAGTGCGCCATTTTGTAGCAGCTCGCAGGTGTCTAGCGGACTCTATCACAAACAACTATTTTTACCGACCATTGCAAAGCGGAATCAAGATAGCTAGCGTGCTGAGAGTCGGCATAGGGCAATGACTTTTAGTCATATAAGCGACCAGGATAAAATATTGATCGCCCAGACGGATTACACCAATGGGATGCAAACGACAGTCGCCGGCGGAGAAATGAGAACCGCCCTCTTAAGCTAAAGCCTTTTGAGCACTGCAATATCCTGTAAACACAGACTCACAACGTAAAGCTGTAACAGCCGGCACTTGTAAGTTATAATCAATTCAAATGGATTGACAATATTTCAAAAAATATGAAAATTTAGGTGAGCTACAATCTGGCTCAATCAAGAAAAAAAAACGTGCGAACATAAAAGATATATGCTCAACCACATCGTTGATATTTTAACAGAGTCATAAATCTCTGATATTCAATGCACTTTTTATATTATGCACAACGAACAAGACTTCGAAAATTATTAGAATTGGATCGGAGTCAAACTGCAGTTGACGAACAGTTCAAAATTTGAGCATTTGGGAGGGATAAAAACTATTAACGGATAATTTTTCTATACGTTGGAACGGATTTAAATCCGCAAAAACGGCAGTGTTGGACATGAATCACAATCACATAGCATAATCTCTAACGAAATGAAGAAAATGAGAATAACACTGCAAATTTCGTGAAATGCATGCAATTTGGATACATGTGTAATTTCTGACTATTGTGATCAGGAGCAGGATATTTTAGGGGGATTTAAATGATGCCTATATTGGCTGAGGTGCAAGCGTTTATCTTTATTATTTATTAAACCTAAACATTTAGTAAATGTGTTTGAAGTGACATTTCAAATACCGTTGCTCAAAGCCTTAAAATCTTGCAAACATTCAAAAAGTTTTCTTCTAGTAATAAATAGGAATTGAAGCCTAAGCTGGGTAACATACCCAACAAAATTTGAATATACGTACTTCAGAAAGGCCAATCTGTGGTGCCGATTCTAAGGCTGTGATTTCCAATCTGGACCTGGGCGAGCTACGACTGATGATAGATATGCAAATAAGGCACTGATAGACGAACTCTCTAAAATATGGAAAAATCTCTGCTGACCGTGAAGTTAAGCCACTCATCGCAATAAATCAAAAGTTTACAAGGCAGCACCATTAGCTAAACGAGCTCTGACGTGGCCTGGCTCATCATATTTATAAGCAAGCCGCACAATTGAAATCGCCACCTCCATCAATCTGCAGACTACCTCAGATTAGGGCAAAAGTAATCCCACTAGTACATCCCACACCTGTAATAGCTTTAGGCTCGTCCACTTCACTTCGGTAAGCATGAATAATCTTAACGAGGAGCGAGAGTTCCATGAACATAAACTAGCGACGTAGTAACGTCAAAAAACATGGCAATATGAATATAAGTACAGCGGTCTTATTTAGGCCTCGAGCGTCTTCTCTGTTTAAGGACTCGAGTTTTTGTGAAAATGTCGACTAGAAAACTTTCCAAAGTCGTTTGAATTTTAATTTAATTAAATGCTAAGTACAAAGGAAAAAATTTTTAGTGATTACAAATCAGCAAAAATTGTAAGTATCGAAACTCTAAGTATCCGTACTTTATAAAAAAAAACTAAGGAGCAGAGACCATCGCTAGCTATCTTGGAATGAAACTTCATGAGAGGAGCCAATAGAGTAAATAATGATACTAGAACAAATGGTTGCGCACATACGTCTTAAATGTTCATATCGCAAAGAACATTTTCTGCCAGAAAATACTTCTAGTTCGTCAGTAGAAGCCGGGTAAGTATAATGTATAAAGGAATAACTTTGATTATACGAGCTTAAACAGAGATAAGACTGGTGAAGAGCGCAGGCTAAATGTCTTTATCAAGAAAGTAAACATATATTTATTCATTAAATATTAATAACAATTCGATCTCTACCATAATAATCCAAGAATATAAAAAGATATTCAAGTTTAAAAAAAAAATAGTTAGGAAATCATCAAATAATTTGAAATCATTTACTAACAGAGGCGCTTGAATAAATTAATGTAAAGCTAGTAGGTGAACTTGAAGAAAAATAATTTAACAGTTGTTTACTTGAACACTATATGACTGCAATCAACATACTCATCGCAACTAAAGTACAATGTAAAATGACAGAAAAACGTTTGTACAGCATGCAACGATAACGAGTCACTCCAGAGAGATATTCTTGAGAAAAGTAAGGGAGACTGCAACGCAACGCAGGCACGTATCCAATCGACTAACGCTGGGCTTGGCTAGTCTCGTCTTCATACCCTCAGAAAGACGAATAGATCCTCCAATGTCATCAATAACTCCTCAATAACACTCAAAGAGCCAATATCCAGTGTACGCTGATTCTACAGGGGGACCAAACATGTACGCTGATCCTACAGAGGGACCAAATTAATGCAGATTCGCGTCTCAAAGCTTCATATCATTATATGAAACCAACTACATGTATATAAATGGATCTATAAAAACGCGACTGGAAATCAAACGAACCAGATCGACTGCATGGAATACATGGCAGATGCTAGTTAGGTTCGCAAAAAGATCGTCGAGAAATACCACTTGAAACTCTTCAGGCCGAATGCCAATGCTCGTAAAAATGATAAGATTTTTTCCTCACGGAATCTTTAATTTAGATTAAGGCATTGGGAACTCATATAAATATGATGCAGTGGAGATGAGATTCTGCGATACGAAGCAAAGAATGCATGTAAATATGAGGGCCAAAAAATATAAGATCGAGCCTAATCAGCGGGAGATCACGAGAGCCGCCGTCCGGACAGAGAGTGGCTCAGGACTCCCACTGCGCGAGGCAAAAAGCCAGCGTCTCGCTTCGCATCAGCCGGCAAGCTCGAGAGATTTCACCGTGCCTCAGCGGCGCATTAATTATCAAAATGTTAATGGAAATCCTTTAAAATATGAAGAAGCCCACAAAAGTCGTGCTAATTTAATGCAGAGAAGAGCGATTAATATGCATGGAATGCTAAGCTAATTCCATAATCTACACTAAAAAATTATTTATTGATATTGGGCTCTAGCCCGGAAAATCATCGAATGATTCTCAAAGCCTAGCCGCAAGATAACAACTTTATTATAAGAGCAACAACGGCCATTGAATTATCTAACATGCTCAAGATGTCTGTTCTTAATGAAATCCGTGCATTGAGTGACTCAGCTCAAGACAGAGATAGACAATTCAAATTTAGACTCCAACTCAGAGAAAGAGTCTCATAACATAGCCGTAGCAACCAACTCCAATGGACGAGACATCATCGAAAAACACGCTCGTCTTGCGAGTTAAAGCCACGATCGTATCTTTTACTTGAGACAAATTTATGGCCAAGTATACAAGGGCGAGTAACAAGTAAATTATGCCCAACTACAATGCAAGAGGGACACAGAAAGAGATGCCGGGAAAAAAGTCGGTGCTTCTCATCGCGAACATGTGTCGAAGTTCGTTACAGCAAACACGAAGTGGGCAGCGCGTATATGATGGACTATTTGAAGCATATCCACTAATGAATAAAGCATGAGGCTTGCATGCCACGCAGATAACATTCGAAGCAATAGCCTATAATGAAGCCCATGGCTTTAAACCGGAGACATCTGCACCATTACGCTTTATACAGTCTCAAGCAAGAAAGTTCTCGCACAATAAATTTGCTAACTATTCATAAACTATTAGGTTGAATGAGCCATATAATTCGGCAATGACATGACATCCAAAATACAACAATAAAGTATCGTCAGACACTTTCAGCAATCTTTTAATTAATGAAAGATGGTGAAGCATCACGAAACTAGCAATTTTTTAACACTCATAAAACCTTATAATACAATGAAATCGAATATACAATAACTTCAAGTGTTAATTTGGAAGATAATTATAAATAGTAAACATTGAACAAAGTAACTCCGTCGCATGACGAATCTTGCTAGGCAATAGAAATTTTTTGGTGATAGAGCATATATACTACTCAATACAAATATCTGGTTATATTTCGGCCATTTTAAGACACCTATTTTGGTTCTAATTCAAGTTATAACTTAGCATTAGAAGAAAGTTTATTTAATATCAGAACTTTGTCCTCTTAGCAGGAATTGAACTTATCTATTTAGTTGTACTAAATATAAGTTTAGTACAACTAAATAGACAAGTTTAGTTTAGTTGTAATAATATTCCACAGAGGCTACTTGCATAGATTGCA